AAAAACAAAAAAAAAAAAAAAAAAAAGAAACTTTTATCAAAAACAAACAAACAACTAAGGGTTTGCAGGGCAGTCAGCAGGTAAAGTTGCTTGCTGCCAGGCCTGACAACCTGAGTTCAATCCTCTGGGACCATACAGTAGAAAGACAGAAGTAACTCTCGCAGATCATCATCTGGTCATTACAGTGCACTGTGTGCTTGCTTACACACACATACACATACATACACACATGCACACACCTTCCTAAATAAACAGATGTAAGAGTACGGGCCAGAGTAGGAACAGGAAAATAGTAAAGATTTTTAAGGAAAAAATGCCTTGATTTGTACTCTGACTAAAAGCAGATCTGGGCTGGTGATGCAGCTCTGTTAGTAGAGCCCTGGCCTAGCATGAATGGAACCCTTTGTTCAGTGCCCAGCACCATATACACCTATGCACTGGTCATCCGATACACGCCTGTAATACTAGCACTTCAGATGAAATAATAAAGGAAAAAGAAAGAATTGGAAAGGGGAGGGAATTGTCTCTGTTTCAGGGCAATCAGATGGTAAATACGGGCAGGAACTGATGAGACCCTAATAGGTGTTATCACTAAAAGGAGATACAGAGACCACAGCCATGCCAAGTGAAGAGTTCTCTGGCTAGGAAAGACCTCATAATGTGTAAATTCAAGGACAAAAAAAATCAGTGAACATGATTTTGGGTTTCTTTGTTTGTTTCAAGACAGGGTTTTTGTGTGGCCCTGTTTGCCCTGTAGACCAGGCTGGCCTTAAACTCAGGCCTGCCTCTGCCATCTGAGTGCTGGGATTAAAGGCATGAGGTACCACCACCCAGCTCAACATGTTTTTAAATAAGTAAAATGTTTTGTTTACAGTGTATTTCTCTTACGGAGATTATTTTCTTTAGAGAACATTTAAAAGTGAACCTTTACCTTTTTAAAAAAGAAAAGAAAAAAGCCGGGTGGTGGTGGTACACAAAAAAAAAATTTCAATTCGAAACCTATGTATGTTTTATTCACTTCCTGCAAAATATTTGTCTTGCCAGTAACAAAACTGGAAAATTCTTTTTCTTCATGAATTGTCCTCTTAGAAAAATTCTTATGATGTTACAGAGTGAACAATTTTAAAGAGATTGACGGATACCCTAGAAAGCAACAGCAGTATTATAGAAATATTATCACCACTCCCACTTTTTTGCTTGTTTGTTTGTTTGTTTTGAAACAGGGTTTCACTGTGTAGGCCTGGCTGTCCTGCAACTCACTCTGTAGACCAGGCTGGCCTCGGACTCACAGGCGTCCGCTTACCTCTGCCTCTGCCTCCTGAGTGCTGGGATTAAAGGCATGAGTCACCACTGCCCAGCCCCGCTTTATTTTTTTAATTTAATTTGTGTTGGATTTCAAAGTACTTTACTGAATGAACTTAAAGCCTCATCATTGCTGGTATTCCAAATAGCCATACCAAGTCCTTCGATTTTTTATTTTAAACGTGTGTGTGTGTGTGTGTGTGTGTGTGTGTGTGTGTGTGTGTGTGTGTTTTCATGCACAGTGTGCACAGAATGTGAGTGGAAATCAGAAGACAACTTGTGGTAGTTAGTTCTCTCCTTCCACCCATGTCGGTCCTGGAGATTGAACTCAGGTCTTCAGACTTGGTAGTAAGTGCCCCTACCCACTGAGTCATCTTGCCAGCCAAGTCCTTTGTGTTCCCATTCTGTACTGGATCAGCCTATAATGTGAGGCTTCAACAAATGTAAAACAATCTTTATATATGGTGTGAATTTAATAAAAGCATTAAACTAATCAGAATAGGGAAATAAATGGTTTTTCCTTTACTAATTTTCACTTAAAAAACATATTTTCAGTTTTTAAATTTTGTTTTCTATTTTGTTTTAGATTTACAAAAAGATTTCTGAAGAAAACAACTTCCATCAAACCAATGCCTTCCACCTTTAACCATGGACCAAATATTTTAAGAATCACTTAATAAATATGGCAGAATCATCTATGTGCCTTAATCCTTAAAGCAAAGCAGAGTGTCCTTCCTCTGGTAACTAAACCAATCAGTTTCCAAAGATAAGAGTTAGATGAACAGTACTAGGACCTAATAGAATGTTCTTTTTCAAGTAATTTCAATTTTAGCTTCTTTTCCCCTCAAAACTGGATTAGTTTTCCACAAAGAGGCATCTTTAAAATGTAACCAATTTAGACCCAGGCATGGTAGAGTATGCTTTTAATTCCAGCACTCAAGAGGCAGAAGCGGGGGCTGGAGAGATGGCTCAGTGGTTAAGAGCATTGCCTGCTCTTCCAAAGGTCCTGAGTTCAATTCCCGGCAACCACATGGTGGCTCACAACCATCTGTAAAGAGGTCTGGTGCCCTCTTCTGGCCAGCAGACATACACACAGACAGAATATTGTATACATAATAAATAAATAAATAAATAAATAATTAAAAAAAAAAGAGGCAGAAGCAGGTGGATCTTTAAGTTTGAGTCTAGCCTGGTCTACAAAGCTAGTTCCAGGACAGCCAGAGTTGTTACATGGAGAAACTCTGAGAAGCCCTGTCTTGCAAAACCAAGGGGGGAAAAAAGTAGCTAACTTAATCCAAACAGAAACTACTGCAGGGGTGAGACATAATGGGCACGCCATTCACCCAGCATGCAGAGGCAGAGCAGGTAGGACTCTGTTTCAGGGAGCCTGGTCTATGGATCAGGTTCTAGGCCAGCAGAGCTCAAGAGTTATGGTGGTGCACACCTTTAGTCCCAGCACTCCTTAGAAGCAGGAGGATCTCTGTGAATCCAAGGCCCGCCTGGTCTACGAAGTGAGCTCCAGGACAGCCAAGCTACACAGAGAAACCCTGTCTCAAAAGAAAAAAAGAATTACGTTGTGAGACCGTCTCGACTAAATAAATAAATTTTATGTGAAAAAAAAAATTGTGTGTTATATATATTATTGTATCTATTTATTGTATACTATATATAGTATTATATGTAATACATGTGTGTTGTGTGTATAGTATTGTGTGCATATATATATACATATATGTGTGATTTCAGAATTTCCTAGTCCTTGTAAAGTCTACTACCTCCATTAATCCTGATTTACTCATCCTAATTCTTATTGATTATACTCGAATTCTCAATACAGGTTTCTTTTTATCTCGGTGTTATTAGGGTGGGATTTCACCTGCAGGTATGTCTGTGCACTATGTGCATGTAATGCCCCCAAAGCCCAGAAGAGTTTGAGTTCCCCCAGGAGTTGGGAGTTTACAGACAGAAGTGCTTGTAGGTGCTTCCCATTAAACCCGGCCCTCTGAAACAGCAGTTAGTGCTCTTATCTGCTGAGTCGGCTCTCCAGCCCAGATTTTATTATTTTATTTACTTACTTGTGTACATGCTCTTGTACTTATGGTGTCTACTCTCTTCCACCTTTTGACGGGTTCATGGATGGATCTCTCTCCAGTCACCAGACATGCACAGTGAGCTCCTGTACCAGATGGAGCATCTGGCCAGCCCAGTTTAAATTACCTTTCAGAACATTTAAATGTCGCAATGCTTCCTATAAAACGGAGCCAGTTAAATCAAGTAAGTGTTTAACTAGGCAGATATGGTGGTGCATAGCTGTAAGTCCAACACTGGAAGGACTGCAGCAAGTTCGAGGCTAGCTTGGGCATACAGAGATCCTGCTTTAAAACAGGCAAAAACCCTTCAGGTGACGTAAGTAATCCAGGTTCAGATTTGTTGATCCTTTTGTAGAACTAAGAGATGGTGTGTAAATCAGCAACCATTTCTTTAACAAAATATTAGTTTTACTGTATATTCTATTTCCAAAGAGTGTGTGTGAGGTTTTGTTTTGAGACAGGCTGTCGATATCTAGCCCAGGCCGATTCTAAATTTGCCAGATTCAGAGGCAAGTGCATCTCAGAGTTCGAGGTCAGCCTGATCTACACAGTAAAACCATGTCTCAAAAGCACTTGGAATTGAAGGCTTGGTAGCCCATGCCCTTAATTACAGCACCCAGGAAGCAGAGGCAGGTGATTCCTAGGTGAGTTCGAACCCAGCCAGAACTACATAAAGAGGCCTTGTCTCAAAACAAAAAGCCTCGCACACGATTCTGTGTTGCTGTTTTGCTGAGGATGGCTTAGACCCTTCAACCCTGCTTCCACCTCTCAAATGCTGGTTTGCAGGCTCGCAGGCTTGTATCACCGTTCCTGATTTTTACGTGGAGCTGGGGACTTCTTGTACACTAGTCACTCTACCAACCAAGCTACATTCCTACGCTGACTCTAAAATGGGTGAATTTTAGAATATCTGAGAAGTGCCCACAATAAAAGGCCAAGCGAATAGTGTTTAAGCTCTGTATCCCTCGCTGTCCTCGAACTCACAAAGATCCGCCTGCCTCTACCTCCCAAGTGCTGGGTTAAAGCGGTTTTCCCGGAGAGAACCCGGCTTTCGCTGCCTTAAATCGTCTATCCCAAAATTAAAACAACTAGGATGTAACAAGCCGCCTCTCTCCAAGGCGCGGACACGGGCTGTAAATCCGCGTCCCGTTCTAGAGAAGGGCAACTGTAGGGACGCCGTTTCAGACAGCTGTCGCGACTCCGCGACAGGACTCCGGGCGCGTCCCTCGGGGTCAAGGCCACGGCGGGGCGGCTCCAGCCCGGCTCGCGCGTCCTCTTCGGAATTCTTCGCCTTATTTAGGCGGCGTCACCACCACGCCGGGCGAACAGCTGCTCCGTCCGCCGGAGGAAGTGCAGGCCGGCGCTCCCGACCCGGAAGCGCATGTTGGTTCCGCCCCCTCGGCTCCCGTCTTCCTTCTGCCACAGCGTGGGTCACGCTCTCGCTCTCTCTCTTTCCGCCGCCATCTTGGTTCCGCGTCCTCCGCACAGTAAGTGCCGCTGGCTTCTCCGCTCTCTATCCGTAGCCATCCTCCCTTGGCGCGAGCCCGGAGGCCCCGGGGCTTCCGTTACGGAGCGTCGGCGGCGGTGTGGGGCTCAGACTTCCCGCTCGTCCCCGGGCCTGCGGACAAAATGGGGCCTGCGGTAGGGGTCCAGGCAGAAGCAGGAGCGGAGGGCTGCGGGTCGTGCCCGGAGTCCGGGCGTGCGGACGTGGGAGCCACTGCGGCGCGGGAAGGAGGGGTCGGGTGCGCCCGCACCGGGGAAGCCTTGCAGGGACTCCCGAGGTGGCTGGCATCCCAGCCTGACGCCCCCGTCGCCGCTCGTCCTGTGCCCGGGGCTTGGTGGGACCGATGGCCCCTGTAGGCTCCTTGCTCTCGAAAGTCAGGGAGTCCGGGGTCCCGGGTCAAGCGGCGGGCGTGTCAGGACGGGAAGGGTCCCAGTCTCGGGATGGGGAGCCCGAGCTCGGATTGCTGGCCTTGGGGATGAGTAGGGCAACTGGGCGAAACTCGGGACGGGAAGGGGCTGGCTGCTCGGTGGGGCGCCGAGGGTCGTGTCATCCCCACGCCGCCGCCGTCGCCCTGGGGAGGTTGTCCCCCGAGCCCTCGTGCGTGCTTTTCTTACCTGCCTTTTGCAGGTGGTTTGGTTTTGTGTTTTCTGAATACTTGACTCTGGGCTGGGTGGGTGCATTCCCGCAGTTAATTCGGGCTTCCTGTTTATTCCCTTCAGAAATGCCTGGCGAAGCCACAGAAACCGTCCCTGCCACAGAGCAGGAGCTGCCACAGCCCCAGGCTGAGACAGGTAGGCGCCCATAGCTCTCTTGCTGGCAACTAAAATTGATGGTAACGCCACGCTTGGTGGCTAAGATGGCAAACACAGGTCTGCCTTCTGTAGTTCACTGCTATTTAAAGACAGTTGTAAGGTAGGGTTGTAACTTTGGGGTAAGTTTTATCTTGAGGGCACCAGGGAAGTTCCTTAGAGGAAGAGAATAAATAAAAAATGGTTGTCTTTAGGATTATAGATAGGTTCCTGGCTCGCTGAGTGTGTCACACCGGCTGCTTGAAAAGCTCCGTGGCGTCTCCACATCATATACGAAACCTGAGCAGGGCAGGCAGAGCCTGGGTGGTTCTAGTCTGTTGGAAAGAGGTGCCAGAGGCAGGCCAAGGAGACCTGAGCTATGGTGAAGCTGGCCAGCAAGTTACATCAAGGTTTTAGATAGCCGTGATTGGCACCGAGCCTTGAGTCACATGTCTGGGTGAGCTATGTGCGGCTGTTGAGTGTTTACTGAGGGCCTCAGCCTAGGCTAGTTAACCTGCAGGAATTGATGATGCTGGGGGGCTTATGGTGTGTTGGAATAGTTCCATTTTATGGAACCCAGTGCTGAAATAAATAAATGTATTTCAACTGAAATAGAACGTAGTGTGAAGATAGACCTGAATGCTGGTTCACACATTTTGATAGGAAACTTGGAAAGAATGTGAAATGGCCATTCCAAGTCAGTTCTTGAGAACTGAGTGAGGGGTGTCTCAAGAATGCACCCTCTACTTTGTTCTTAGTGGAATTTTTCTTTGCTACTCAACAGGCAGTTTGTTGTGTTTTGGACTTAAAGTACTTAAAAGCATATACTTCCCACCTGTCTGAGTTTAGCAGCTGAAAGGATTAGTCCAGCTGCTGGGCCCGAAAGGGGGTCTGTGCCCTGACCTGGGAAATGAGCAGTGAGGAAAGGAATGGTCTCAGAAGATCTGTAACTTCAGAGCTAAACAAAGTTAAATTCAACTTTACAAATGTGGGGGCTGAAATTTCTATGGATTTAGAGTATTCTGGTTCCGGCTCTTACACTTACTTATTTCTGAAGCAGTTGTTAGTATTGTTAAAGGTAGTCTTTAATTAGTCTGAGCCTGCATGTGTTAGTTATTGAACTGTAATTAGTCTTGCTGGAATGTCTGTAGACAGTAAATTAGGGCATTAGTTAGAAGTATTTTCACTATAATCAAAAGGCTTTGACCACCATTTCTCCCAGAAAGACTGGTCCAGCCACCTACCTCTTTGTCCTAGAAGAACTTGGGAACAAACTGGTTGGGCGACTTTTGAGATTGGGTGCTGTGGGCTTGTTTGGTTTTTTTTTCTCACCCTTCTAGGTATTTATCATTTGTTGATTTTTTTTTTTTTAATCAGTGTTCTCTCAAATGGGAGAAATCTTTTTAGTGCCAAATAGTGGTCTGTTTAGGTGGGATCGCATGCTTATCGATCAAGGGGTGGGAGCCTGTATTTTTTCATTATAATTCTTATAAGGTATGTCTTAATAGTTTGGTTAGTTTCATGTTATAATTCGTACCTTGCCCTTCCTTGGGTCCTAATTAATTCGAGTTACAATGTCTGAAGAGCCAATATTGCTGAAAAAGAGAGTATGGTGTGTAAACCACTTCTAGTTGAGACTTGGTGTTTAATATTTGGTATTAATTGTTGAGTTTAGGCTTCAGTAGAACTGAATTAGGCTAGGTATATCCTTTCTAAACTTGATTCCAATATAATCAGATCCTACCCCAGCTTGGTAGAACCTAAAAGGTTTTTTTTTTTTAAGTTTATTTAATTTTTTATGTGCATTGGTGTGAAGGTGTCAGATCCCCTGCAACTGGATCTTCAGACATTTGTGAGCTGCCATGTGGGTGCTGGGAATTGAACCTGGGTCCTCTGGAAGAGCAGTCAGTGCTCTAAACCACTGACCCATCTCTCCAGCCCGAACCTAAAAGTATTAAGAAAAAGAAAAAATACTCCCCCATCTCCCCTTATTTAGACTCCTCAAAGATTGGGCCGGGTGTGGTTGCACACCTTTAATCTCTGAGTTCCAGGCTACCTGGAGCTGCATAGTGAGGCCCTGTATAAAAACAGAACATTGGGAGGGGTATCAGTTTTGGAGGAGAAAGGAAGGCACGTTCTCAGTCTACTCTGGGTTGGGGGCTAGTGGCAAAGTCCCAGCTTTTTAGGAAGCTGAGGCAGGAGGATTGTAAATTCAAGGGCAGCCTAAGGTGTGGGACCAACTCATAAAGAAGACTTAGGTTATAGTAGTAATCTTGCCTGTCGTGCTTAATCCCTGGTAACAGGGAGGGTGTGGGCCTGTACTCCCCATTTAGAGATGAGCTGGTCTTAGACTATTTGCCCCACCTTAAAATAGTTGGTTTATTTTTGTAGAACTTGGGAAATGAGAAGGATGTAGTCCACTTTAATCACTGAAGTGTGTACAGGGAAAGTTGATAGTGCTTGTCACCTTTTTCTAATCTTGTGTGGTGACCTTCATTCTCAGACTTAAAACTCCATTGTTTCCTGTGAGGCATGTTACCAACTTGGGCTGCACAACTCACCTTTCCCCTCCCTTTATCTCCTTTTTTATTTTGGTTTTTATTTTATTTTTGCTTTTCTCCAGCTGTGCTTCCTATGCCTTCAGCCTTGAATGTTTCTGCTGCTTTAGGGCAGCCTGCACCTGCCCCTCCTTGCTCCCTGGCCCCCCAACAAAGCCCTTTAGTAACTGCTAATCAGCCTTCCCCGTTCCCTTCGCCTAGTATTTCCTCAATCCCTTTTGAAGTTCCTTTTCCCCAGCCACCTTCTGAAACTGTACCTCTGGGAACTGCCCCTCACACTCCAACTTTCCTTCCACACGTAATAGGGCCTCCCATCTCCCCAGCTGCCTTAGCTTTGGCCTCTCCCATGATAGGTCCAACTCAGAAAGGTGCCCGGTCCTCTTCGACCCCCTTGTCTCTGGTTGCAGTGGCTCCCCACTCAGCTCAGAAGACTTCTGTATCTCCACCTCACCCTCCCAGTTTACCTTTATCAGTTGCTGTAGCAGAGTCAGGGCCATTGGCATCTATTGTTCCCTTAGAACCAAAGGCTTCTGCTAGTCAAAAACCCTCTCAGGTAGTTCCGAATTTGAAAGGCCCTGCCCCAAGTCCTCCAGATGTAGTCGGTGTTTTTCCTTCCTGCCTTGAAACTCCCCTGGCCTCTCTTCCACCTGGATTAGCATCCTGTCCTCAAACACTGTCCGTCACTTCTCCAATCAAAGGGATCCCCGTTTCCTCAGCCCTGGTGCCACAAAATATGTTAAACCTTAACCTAAACAGACCTGTTAGTTCACCTGCTCAAAACACTATAACTCCCAACATCCTCCCAGCACCCCCTACTTCTCTGGGCTCACCTCTTCCACTTTTACATCATAGTTCTTTGGATTCTCCTATCCAGCCTTTACGTCAGTCAGGTCCTGGTGCTGTGTCGGATCCTACAGTGAGTAATACCATTTCTGTAGATCATTCTGCTGTTGAGGCATCTTACCCATTGGAGCGATCTATAATTCCTCCCCTGCCTTCCAGACATGAGCTGGTTTCTGATTCTGTGGCAGCTCTTTCAGTGAGGGCTCCAGCGTCTGCCCTGGCTCCATCTGTTGACAGAGGCAATTCTGCTGTTACTAGTGTAATCTGCAGCCCTCCTGGCTGCTCGGGTACAGCTGCTGCTTTATTATCTCCTACGGCCTCTTTAATTCCCAAAGGTTCTAATGTCACTCAGCAGCCTCTGGTGACTCAGATTCCTGCTTCTCCAAAAACTGGCTTAAAAGAAACTCCTGTCTCGTCTGTTGGAGCCATCCAACCTGCTGTGGATAACCCTAATACCATTTCTATTGCACCTGCCACTTTTATGTCTCCTCCAGTTTCCTCAGGTCCTGTGAGTAGTAAAGATGTAACTTCCCCTGCTAGCTCACTTGTAGCAGCTGCTCCTCCTCCAGCCACTGAAGGTCTTAAAAATCTCCCCGCTTCAGCATTGGTAAATGTAGGAGCCCCTATTTCTCCAACCCAGGTAGGACTCTGTACCAGAAAAGACCCCACTCTGTTACCCTTGGCCCTGGCAGCACATAAAGAGTCTCCCTCTCCTCAGAGTACATTGCTTTTGGAGGTTCCTTCAGGAGCCACTGCGACAAAGACTGCAGAAGGACCTGCACCTGTAGCGAGAGCAGCCGTTGCTACTAGTTCTTCCCTGGGTGCCAATCCTTCAACTGCTATCAAGACAGACCCTGTCAGTCTGTCTCTCAAATGTCCTGTTGCAGCTCCTGCAATGGCTCCGTTAGTTTTAGAATCTTCTGATCCTAAAGAACTGGCTCCTAGAACTGTCAAGGGTGCCTCTGCTTCTAAAACCTCCATTACTACCACTTCACCTCTGGTTCCTTTAGCCCCTGAAGTTTGTCCCGTGTCTGTGGCTTTTAACCCTCAAAATGTTTCTCTTTCTACAACTACGGAGGCATTGGCTCCTGAAATTCCCAGGTCTCTGCCCTTTCCTGCTCCAATCCCAACTGGGATTTCTTTTTCTGGTGCAAAGAAAATTGAAGATATTTCTTCTGTGGTATCTTTGGCCTCCTCTCCTGAAGGGCACCCAGAAGACTTGGTTGCTTCTGTGTCTTCGAAAGGAACTCTGGTTTATCCAGCTGATTCCCTGTCTGGTATGTCTCCGAAGACTAAAAGGCCTTCATCCAAGAAGGGTTCTCCTATCCCAGATGTTTCCCCTGCAACTCTGTCTTCTCTTTCTCCGCTTGAGGCTGCCCTCCTTCCTGGGGCTTGTCTTTCTTTTCCAGGTCGTACAGACTCACTTGAGCTTTCTCCTGTTCCTTCATCTTCCAAAGGGACCCCTGTTTGTTCAACAGTGGCTCCTCCCTTCCCTGCCCCAACAGAGACCTCTATATCCCCCAAAAAGGCTCCAGCAACCTTGTTTTTCAAAGATACCCCCGCAGTCCCAGCAGAAATTCCTCCTTCCCCTCCAAAGACCATAGAAGCTACAGCTTCCAAACTGGTCCCTCTAATCCAGCCCCCCAAAGTGGCCCCTATTGTACCAGATGTGACTCCCACTTCTCCAAAAAAAACTCCAGCAACTCCAGTCCCCAAAGATACTTCAGCAACCCTGTCACTCAAAAGCGTCCCAGCTATGACTTCTTTGTCTCCCCCAAAGGCCCCTGCAGCCCCATCTCCTAATGGAGCCCCCATTGCTCCAACTGAGATTGCCCCACCCCTCAAAAATGCCCCAGCAACTATAACCCCCAAAGTTGCTAGTACTCTTCCAGATGTGACTCCACCCTCCCCACAGAAGACTCCAAAATCCCCTAAGGGTACCCCGGCTGTGACTCCTTCCTCCCCACCAAAGTCTGAAGCATTCAGTGAGCCTTTAACAAGCCTATCCCTCAAAGGTGCCCCTACTGCCCTAGCTGGTCCAACCTCCCCTACAAGGACTCCCAAAACTGCAGCCCCCAAAGAAATTCTACCAGAAGGGGTCCCAACTGTGCCACTAGAGATTTCTCCCTCCCTGAAAAAGACTTCAAAAACTGTGGCCTCCAGTGAAAGTTCAACAGCCTCATCCTCTAAAGGGTCCCCCAAAATTTCAGCCCCCAAAGAAACTCCAGCCCCATCAGATGGGGTCACCACTGCATCTCTGGAGATTCCTCCTTCCCCCAAAACTGAGGCCCCAAAAGAGGTTCCTGTGACTTTATCTCCCAAAGGTGCCCCTGCTACCCTAGCTGAGAGTCCTGCCTCCCTTAAAAAGCTCCCCAAAACTGCAGCCCCCAAAGAAACTCCAGCAACCCCATCTGTAGGGGTCCTAGCTGTGCCAGTAGAGATTTCTCCCTCCCCCAAAAAGGCCTCAAAAACGGCAGCCCCCAATGAAAACTCCACGTCATCCCAAAAAAAGTTCCCCAAAACCTCAGCCCCACCTTCTGAAGGTGTCACCACTGCTCTACCAGAGATTACTCCTTCCCCCAAAAAGGCTCCCAAAACTACAGCCCAGAAACAGATTCCTGTGCCTTCATCTCCCAAAGGTGCCCCTGCTACCCTAGCTCAGAGTCCTGCCTCCCCTAAAAGGTCCTCCAAAACTGCAACCCCCAAAGAAACCCCAGCAACCCCATCTCCTGAAGGGGTCACAGCTGTGCCACTAGAGATTCCTCTTTCCCCCAAAAAGGCCCCCCAAAGTGCAGCTCCCAAAGAATCTTCAGCTCCATCTTCTGGAGTCATGACTGCACAACAGGAGATTCCTCATTCCCCCAAAACTGAGGCCCCAAAAGAGGTTCCTGTGACTTCATCTCCCAAAGGTGCCCCTGCTACCCTAGCTGAAAGCCCTGCCTCCCCTAAAAAGGCCTCCAAAACTGCAGCTCCCAAAGAAGCTCCAATAACCCCATCTCCTGAAGGTGTCACAGCTGTGCCAGTAGAGATTTCTCCTTCCTCCAAAAAGGCCCCCAAAACTGCAGCCCCCAAAGAAAATTCAGCAACATCGTCCCCCAAAAAGCTACCCAAAACTGCAGCCCCCAAAGAAACTCCAACCACATCTGAAGGGGCTACCATTGCACCGCTAGAGCTTCCTTCCCCCAAACAGGTTCCTGTGACCCCATCCACCAAAGGTGCCCCTACTACCTTAGCTGAGAGCCCTGCCTCCCCTAAAAAGGCCTCCAAAACTGCAGTTCCCAAAGAAGCTCCAACTACCCCATCTTCTGAAGGCATCTCAGCTATGCCACTAGAGATGGCTCTCTCCCCTAAAAAGGCCCCCAAAACTGCAGCCCCCAAGGAAGCCTCAGTTCCATCTTCTGAAGGAATCACTACTGCACCACAGGAGATTTCTTCCCCCCCAATTGCAGCCCCCAAACAGGTTCCTGTGACCCCATCCACCAAAGGTGCCCCTACTACCCTAGCTGAAAGTCCTGCCTTCCCTAAAAAGGCTCCCAAAACTGCAGTTCCCAAAGAAACTTCAGTAACTCCATCTCCCCAAAGGGCCTCCAGAACGGCAGCCCCCAAAGAAACTCCAGCAACCCCAACTCCTGAAAGTGTCACTGCTGTGCCACTAGAGATACCTCTTTCCCCCCAAAAGGCCTCAAAAACTGCAACTCCCAAAGAAACTTCAGCAACGTCAACCTCCCAAAGGACTTCCAAAACATCAACACCCAAAGAAATTCCAGCCCAGCCCTCTAAAGGTGTCTCAGTTGGGCCACTGGAGACTCCTTCCCCCAGAAAGACCCCTAAGCTGTCAGGACCCAAAGAAGCACCCACAATCCCATCTCCAGAAGGGGTCGTAGCTGGGCCACTAGAGATTCCTTCAGCTCCCAAGAAAGCCCCCAAAATGGCAGGCCCCAAAGAAACTCGAGCAAAGCTGTCTTCTGAAGGGGTCACAGCTGGACCACTAGAGATTGCTCGCTCCCCCAAAAAGACCTCAAAAACTGCAGCCCCCAAAGAAAATTCAGCAATGCCATCCCCCAAAAGGTCCCTCAAAACTGCAGCTCCCAAAGAAACTGAACCATCTTCTAAAGGAGTCATTACTGCACCACTAGAGACTGTTCCTTTCCCCCAAAAGGCCCATAAGACAGCAGGACCCAAAGAAACACCAGCAGTGTCTCCTGAAGGGGTCACCACTGCACCATGCGAGAATCCTCCCACCCTGCAGAAGGCCTCAGCACCTATAGTCCCCAGAGCCATCCCTGCTGACACACAGGAGATTGCTGTTTTCCTCGGGGAGACTCCAATAACCCCGGCTGTCCTCCCAGTCAAAAACCCTTCCTCCCGTAAAAAAGCTGCAACACCTGTAGCTCTTAAAGAAGCTCCAGCAGTCCTGTCTCCCAGTGCTGTCCCAGCTATGATTCCTCCCTCTCCCTCAAAGAGTCCAAAAACTCCATCATCCAAAAAGGCACCAAGAACTTCACCCCCTAAAGAATTTCTGGCAGATCCTTCTCTTGAAGCTGTCACCACTTCACTACCAGAGATGGCTTCCTCTTCGCAAAAGGCCCCAGCAACTACAGCCCCCAAAGAGAATTCAGCAACCCAGTCTGTTAAATGCAACTCCACTGTCACAACTGTTGCTCCTATCTCCAAAAAGACCCCGGCAACCCCATCCCCTGGAGGTGCTGCCACTGCCCCAACTGGGACTTCTCTTTCCCCAAGTCCCCCAGTCAAGATTTTCTCCTCCAAAAAGGCCCCAGTTCCTACATCTCCTGAAAGGGCCCCTCTTGCCCCAACAGCAGTAGCTACAAGAGAAGTCACCACAGTCCCAACTTCTAAGGCCCCAGCAACTGAGACCTCCAAAGAGACTTCAACAGCTCCATCTCCCAAAGGGACCTCTACTATCTCTTCTGTGGTTCCTATCTCCCCCAAAGAGGTACCAACAGCCTCATTTTCCCAGAGATCCCAAGCTCCCAAGGAGACCTTAGAAACTTCGACCTCCAAAGGAGTTGTCACCCCCACAATTAACTCTCCTTTAGCTCCGAAAAAGGCCCCATCCTCCAAAGAGGTTCCCATTCTCTCATCTATCACTCCTTCCCCTAAAGACTCCCCTCATAGCACAGGGACTGTTAGCCCTCAGGCATCTGAAAAGCTCCTGGCAAAGAAAGATGTACTTGCTGTACCCACTTCAGAAAGTGCATTGGTCATCACTACTCCAGTTCAGAAAGGCCCAAAAGCCAAGAAGAATTCTAAGTGCTCAGATCCTTCCACTAAGAAAGATACAAAGGGCCTCCTTTCTGCAGTAGCTCTAGCACCTCAGACAGTTAATGTTGAGAAAGACTCTTCAAAACCTGCAAAAGCTCTGCCTGTTTGCCCTGCAAAAGGCAATGTTTGTCTTCATTCCCCAAAGGGTCCCGAGGCTGCTTCTCCTGAGTCTCAGATAGCTACCCCTCTGACAGCAATAACCTCTGACAAAGCCCTCCCTGAAGCGGGATCAGCACCTGTAACTCCAAAGCCTACCCCACCAGCTCCCCTGACTCTTGCTCCCTCCCCAGTTCCCCCTCTGCTTCCTAAACAGCCATTTCTTCAGTCCTCATCTGGGTCAGTACTGGAATCACCCTCTAAGCTCCCAGCCCCTGCTGATGAGGATGAGCTGCCGCCTCTGATTCCCCCTGAAGTGGTCTCTGGGGGAGTGCCTTTCCAGCCGGTCCTCGTCAACATGCCCACCCCTAAACCTGCTGGGATCCCTGCCCCAGCCCCTTCTGCCAAGCATCCTGTTCTGAAGAACGACAAGGGTATTTGCCTTGGTTTGCTGTGTGCATGGTGTGTTGCCCACACCCCTCTTGGGGGCTGCCCACCAATACTAACTAGGGTGCATCGCTTTGTACAGTATGTCAGCTTGACATAGAAGGGTAGCTTTAAATGTAGAAGCTCTAGGAATATGGTACTAAATCTTGGTTTCTATCATCTCAGATAATATTTTGTGTCTTGTGTAAAGTGAGACAGGCTAAGCCCTGAATCTAACCATCCTTTTTGGCCTAACTGAGCTGATAGTGAAAACCAAGCCCTACCAGATAGATCTTTAATTTACTCTAGTTCTTACCACATCACTAACCCTGTCCCTGGGCCTGGAATTTGCTTTTTTGGAAAATAAACAAGGGAAATCTTGAACCTATTTCTAATATTACTTTTTAGACTTAGTAACTACCAGTTGCCCAGGGGCTTCCTTTCCTTAAAAAATGTAGAGACCTGTGTTTTCCTGGCAAGACTGGTGTGGGTGTATGCTTTCCTCCCCTTTCGGTAGAATTTACTGTTGCTTGGCCTTTCAGTTGAAGGAAAATTAAGATATGTGAATTGTATTTGGAAGTGGGGAGATTACGGGTCTGTATCTAATAGCAGTGAGAACTGTTAGAGCTTAACACCATGGAGGCACTCCAGTGATGGGGTAAAATTCTTTAACACCATGGAGGCACTCCAGTGATGGCGTAAAATTCTTTGGGTGAGTGGTTTGAAAGGCAGAATGTGTGTGCACGGCTGCTTCTGACCTTGCAAACCCATTTAAAAGACTCTCACTCAATTCTATCAAAAGATGCCTTTTGTCTGTACATTTCTGGATGACTGGGCTGGGGATAAAATTTGAATCACATGAATGCTTACTGTTTGTGCCAAGAAATGAAGACCTTAAGAGAAAGAAGGCAGTTATTGCATATGAGCTGCCTGGCTGTGTCTGGTGACTGACCCACATCTCTGAGAAGGGAGGCCTCAGACTGGGTCACAGAAGCCAATTGCCTTTATTTAGCTTTGTGGGCCTTGCATGAATCAGCAATAGCTAGTTCAGGCGGGCCATGATGAGGTGCTGCCTCTTAGAACTCTGCTTTTGAAAATGATAAGTTACCTGTCCTCTTAGGGTCGGGAACAGAATCTGACAGCGATGAATCAGTACCAGAGCTCGAGGAACAAGACTCCACACAGACAGCCACACAACAAGCCCAGGTACGTGTTCTCTTAATAACTTAAATTGAGTCAAGAAAGTATTAGAAGACAACTGTGCTGGCCAGCACTTTGAAGGCTGATGCCGAAGTGTTGAGTAAGACAATGTCTCAAAAGAAAAGAAAAGTCAGAGAGGATCTGGAGACCAAGATTATAACGGGCATGACTATTTAAACTGTGAATCTTTGTAAAACAAAACCATATGGAAACAAGCATCCTGAACTTTGGATCTGTTCAACTCAAAACTGTCTTCTTAGCTGGCGGCAGCAGCTGAAATTGATGAAGAACCAGTCAGTAAAGCAAAGCAGAGCCGGAGTGAAAAGAAAGCACGGAAGGTAAGATGGGGTTAAAATAGAAAGCCTGTATTCCCAGCACTTGGGACAGAAAGGCAGAAGGATTAGGCCTTAAGGGATAGCTGTGTGGCAAATTCAGAGCTAGTTTAGGGTCATGGGACTGTCTCTGCAAAAAAGGGCACCTGTGGGACAGCTCTTGGTAACTATAACTAGTCTTCATTGTATAAATTCAATCCAGAAAAGTCCGCTGTGGGTATTGAAGGTGGTGTTCTGCTCCTCCCCCCCAAGCTGCTTCTAAAGTTAGAAGCTTGATTTTTGTTTCCTCTTCTTTAGGCTATGTCCAAGCTGGGTCTTCGGCAGGTTACAGGGGTTACTAGAGTCACTATCCGGAAATCTAAAAATATCCTCTTCGTCATCACCAAACCAGACGTCTACAAGAGCCCGGCTTCAGACACCTACATCGTATTTGGAGAAGCCAAGGTTAGTGAGGTGTCCAGTGAGTCGCTCCAGACTGCCACTATCAGTAGTTAAGGCCAGGTACTCTTGGTGCAGTTGCTGGTGTTGTTGCCTTTCTCGTACAGTTGTGATACCAAAAATCTTTAGACACAGCTAGCTTACTTCTTTCTATATGAGTCCAAAGGGAGGGCAATTCTGTGCTTTTTACTCATGGGCCTGTCTTCTCTGCCCTGTAGATTGAAGATTTGTCTCAGCAAGCACAGTTAGCAGCTGCTGAGAAGTTCAAAGTTCAAGGTGAAGCTGTTTCAAACATTCAAGAAAATACTCAGACGCCGACAGTACAAGAAGAGAGTGAGGAGGAAGAGGTATGCCACAATATCCTGTGGACTTTATTTCATCTCTGTGGTGGCAGATCCTGCTCCAGACATTACTGGAGTTGTTCTTTGATTTGTTAAGACTCTTTCCTCTCTCCCCCTTTTTAGGTTGATGAGACAGGTGTGGAAGTTAAGGACATAGAATTGGTCATGTCACAGGCGAATGTGTCCAGAGCAAAGGCAGTCCGAGCCCTGAAAAACAACAGTAATGATATTGTAAATGCTATTATGGTGAGTTCTTACCTCCCTCCTCTGTGTGCTGTGACAGTCATTCCAAGGCCGGGGTTGTGCTAGACTAGAGTGACCTGAATCCTTCACCTCTGCTTTTAATGCCTCTAATTCTCTCCTCTCTTTTTTTTTTTTTTTTTTACAGGAATTAACAATGTAACTATTTGACGGAGAGGACACTCCCCATTCCCTCCCCCCTTTTTGGTGTTTCAAAGGTGGAACTGCAGCTTGGTTTGAAATTTGTACTGTTTCTATCACTAATAAAGTTATGGCTTCTTGTTGGATGAACTCAGTAGGTGCTTGATCTCTTCCCTGAAAGTTGAGGGGGGTGGGGTTTTTTTTGTTGTTGTTTGTTTGGTTTGGGTTTTGTTGTCATTTTGGTTTTTTTGAGGCAGAGTCTCTCTGTGTAACAGTCCTGGCTGTTCAGGAACTCGCATTATAGACCAGGCTGACCTCAAACTCACAAAGATCCACCTGCCTCTGCCTCCCGAGTGCAAGGATTAAAGGCATGTGCCACCACAGCCCAGCTCTTCACTGAAAGTAAACTGAAGGTGCTTAATTTTAAGACCATCACCGCGTGCAAACACACACATGCACACATACTCATGCTTTCTGTTGGTGTATACTATATAGGCAAAGTTCTTTTTTAGAAACTTTTTGTTGACTTGGCCAGGCATAGTGGTGCACACATTTAATCTCAGCATTTAGGAGGGAGGACGATCTGGGTTTCTGCATAGTGGATACCCTATCTTTCCCCCCCCCCCAAATTTTTAATCTCTAAATGACAAAATATGATCAATAAACTTTTTGATGTTGATTTTTTTTTTTAAGATTTATTTATTATGTATACAACATTCCTTCCATGTATTTTTGCATGCCAGAAGAGGGCACCGATCTCATTATAGATGGCTGTGAGCCACCATGTGGTTGCTGGGAATTGAACTCAGGACCTCTGGAAGAGCAGTCAGTGCTCTTAACCTCTGAGCCATCTCTCCAGCCCCTGGTTGATGTTGATTTTTGAGAAGGGCTCAAACTATAGCCCAAGCTGGCCTGGAATTCATATATATCAGGAGAACTCAAATTCATTGACTATTCTTTGGCACACCAGCTTACTATATTTTGGGATTACAGATAAGACCTACCCACCACACCTGTTTAGGGTTTTGTAATGTTAGCAGTTAGCAGTACTGGCTTCTCTCCCAGAGGATTCAGGTTCAGTATTGTCTATGATGTGAGCCCAGGCGATCTGATACCCTCTAAATCTGGCACTGGGCACCCAGGTGATGCACAGGCAAACAAGTCTTTTCAAAAATTGCTGCATTTATTTGTGGGAGGAGGCAGTACATGCCATGTAGCACCATGAAGGCAAAGAGAGTGTGCAAGTTCTCTCCTCCCCCATGGGACTGGGCAATCAGACTTGGGTGTCTAGCTTATTCATTGAATGAACCACTGTGCCAACCACTTAATTGTTTTGAGATGTGGTCTCTACATATCCCTGACTAGTCTGGAAGTCATTAGGTAGACCATATTTTTCTTGAATTCACAATGATCTGCTTCCCAAGTGTACAACCTCTCACCATTTTTGAGAGCTATTATGTGCCAGGGGTTGGATATACATATTCAAAAGAAACTTACTCATCCATGTCTTGGGGTTCCTATTGTGTAGAGACACCATGACCATGTTTTGTTTCTGTTTTGTTTTTCTAGATGGTTTTTGTGTGTAATAGCCCTATTGTCTGTCTGTTGACTTAACTGACCTTAAACTCAATGATCCGCCTGACTTTGCCTCCTGAGTACTGGATTTAGGGCTGGCTTACAGTTTCTGATATATAGTCATGGCAGGGAGCATAAGGCATGCAGGCATGGAGTAATATGCCCAGATTGGTGGACAGCGGAAAGAGAATGCCATACTTGACCTGGTTTGATCACATGAGACCTCAAAGCCCATCCCCAGTGACATTCTTCCTCAAGCAACACCATGCCTACTCCAACAAAACAATGCCTCTTAGTGCCACTCCCTATGGGGCCATCTTTACTCATGCTGGGTGTGGAATGGTATCTGTAACCCCAGCTGTCAAGTAGAGGATCATGAGTTCAGGGCCAGCCTAGATTAGTTTCAAGCCAATTTAGGCCTCAAAAGTTGAAGCCTGTCTCCAAAAGGCCTATAAAAAATATTACCTCAGCCGGGCGGTGGTGGCGCACGCCTTTAATCCCAGCACTTGGGAGGCAGAGGCAGGTGGATCTCTGTGAGTTCGAGCCCAGCCTGGTCTACAAGAGCTAGTTCCAGGACAGGCTCCAAAACCACAGAGAAACCTGTCTCGAAAAAACTAAAAAATAAAAAAATAAAAAAAAATTAAAAAAAAATATTACCTCAAGGGCTGGAGAGATAGCTCAGCTGTTAAAGGCTAGGCTCATAACCAAAAATAAAAATATTACCTCAAGCTATTTGGCTTTCTGTTACTTTAACAAGATGGAAGAAATTCAGTTTATGCTTAGCATGGTGTCATGCACAATAATAGCACTTGAGATGTATAAGCAGGAAGATCGGGTGTTGCAAGGTTTTCCATGACTACGTGCCAAGTTTGAGACTTACTATAAAACTATCAAGGAACAACATTAAGTGAAGAAATGTTGATTTTGGGGCTGGAGAGATGGCTCAATGGTTAAGAGCATTGCCTGCTCTTCCAAAGGTCCAGAGTTCAGTTCCCAGCAACCACATGGTGGCTCACAACCATCTGTAAAGAGGTCTGGCGCCCTCTTCTGGCCTTCAGGCATACACACAGAATATTGTATACATAATAAATATTTAAAAGAAAGAAATGTTGATTTTGTTGAGCTTTTAAAGTAGACTATTGGAAGGTTGAACATGAAGGCTGGGAGGAAGTGGAACAAAACTGCCTACTGGAGACTAGAAAGCAAAGAAAGGAGAGGGAAGGACCCTTAGGTGTTTCCCATGGTTTATATATCAGAAAGGGACAAAGCCTTCATTGAACATGTAAGCTTTTAGGGTTGATTAGTATTGATTTAAGACACTGGGCCCGGTGGAAGAGGCAGGAGGATCTCTGATTTTTGAGGCCAGCCTAGTGTACATAGCAAGTTCCATGCTTGCCAGGGCTACACAGTAAAACCATGTCTTAAAAACAAGTTTCAAGCCAGGCAGTGGTGGTGCAAGCCTTTAATCCCAGCACTCAGGAGGCAGAGGTAGGTAGATCTGTGATTCTGGGCCAGCCAAGGCTATACAGAGAAACTCTGTCTCAAAAAAACAACTCTCATTTAAAAGTCTCCTTTAAAAGGGGTGGGAGGACTCCTTAAATAGGTGTATAGTGCTTGTCGATTTAGTCCTGAACTCTCTCCAACCCTTTACCCTATCCTCCACTCCATATACACTGTCTCCTAAATTCTCACCACATTGAACTTTAAAGAAATTACTTTTTTACATTTATAAATTTTATTTTATATGTATGAGTGTTTTGCCTGCATGTATGTCTTTGTACCACTTGCATGCAGTGCCTGAGGAGTTATAGATGGCTGTTTATTTATACGTGGTTGCTGGGAATTG